CTTAAAAGAAAGACACAAAAACAAGAATCTATAAAGCAGCAATTATTCATATATGAACATACACGGCGGAGACAAGACCTGACACATCTAAAATGAGATGACTTCTAGAAACAACAGAGATGAACAGAGATGAACAGAGATGAAACTACTCTGACGAATATTAGGGAAAAGTCTATTGGAAATGGAACGAACACATTAGTAGAATGGCAGAGGATAGGATAGTACGAATAGCACGAGATAAATTACCAAATGAACGAAGAAGTATTGGTCGACCAAGAAAAAGATAACGCGATAATTTAAACACCCAAGCCAGAAATGCTGGCTGCCGAAAACAAAATAATAGAAAGATGGGCTGAATATTTTGAAGAGCTCCTGAATATCCAAAATTTCACTGATGAAAATAATGAAAATGGTTTAAACAACGGAGAACATGAGTATCAAACCGTTGAATTAGAAATACCCACACCAAGCATGGAAGAAATTACGCATGCCATAAAAACGCTTAAAAACGATAAATCTCCTGGTCTGGACAATATTGATGCCGAGCTAATTAAAATAGGCGGTCATGACCTCATAAGTAAAATCCATCAATTAATAGAAATGGCCTGGCAACAAGAAATAATGCCGAAAGAATGGTGTGGTAGTATTATTGTACCAATACACAAGAAAGGAAAAAAGGAGTCATGCATGAATTACAGAGGACTCTCACTAATCAACACTACATATAAAATATTGGCTTCGATATTATTAAAAAGATTAGTACCATACGTCGAAGAACTAGTTGGTAACTACCAGTGTAGTTTCAGACCTGGCAGATCGACTATTGATCAAATATTGACAATAAGACAAATGCTTGGAAAGTATTGGGACTACAATCACGACGTTCATCAGATTTTTATAGACTTCAAACAGGCTTATGATTCAATTAATCGTGCAACATTATAGAAGGCAATGATCGAGCTCGGCATACCCAAGAAACTAGCTGCGGTAACACAAATGTGTGTAAGTAACTCTTTTGCACAAGTTAGAATAGGGGGGAAAATATCAAATGCTTTCTGCGTAAATTCTGGACTGAGACAGGGAGATCCGTCGTCCCCATTGTTGTTTAACCTGGCCTTAGAATATGGCATGCGAAAAATATATCCAAAAATCAAACCAGACATAACTGCTCGGGGAGCAAAAATCATACTCGCCTGTGCCGATGACGTAGACGCAGTAGCACGATCAACATTAGAAATTAGGGATATCTTCTCGAGCTTTGAAGAAGCTGCATTAAACATCGGTCTAAAAATAAATAAGGACAAAACAAAATTCATGGTCGTCTCAAAACAAGAACGACGGCGAATAAGGCAAAACATTACCATAAATGATCACAACTTCGACGTGGTTAAAGAATTTAAATATCTAGGAGCAACAATCACAAATGACAACAAATTAGAGCGAGAAGTTGAAACGAGAATAATGTCAGGAAATAGATCCTTCTTTGCAATGCAACATCTGATGAAGTCGAAACTTCTTTCACGAGGTGCAAAGATCCGGATATATAAGACCATATTACGACCAACAGTCGCGTATGGAAGCGAAACATGGACGATAACAAAAAGAGAAGTAAATAAATTGCTGGTATGAGAACGTAAAATTCTTCGAATGATATATGGCCCCTGCAGAGACAGCGTGACAAACGAATGGAGCGGCAGATACAATAACGAGCTAGAGTCTCTATTCGGAAAAGAAAATCTAGTCAGATATATAAATGCCAATAGACTCAGATGGGCAGGACATGTGATAGACAGTAACGATAATCGCCTTATAAACAATGTGTTCTGGGAAAGGCCAGATAGAAGGAGGTCTGTAGGGCGGCCTAGAAAAAGGGGGAAAGATGCGGTCAGAGAAGATCTAGAGAAGATGGGAGTGCGACAATAGGAATTACTGGCACAGGACCGACAAACATGGAAGGCAATAATAAACGCGGCAAAGAATCACGAAGAGTTGTAGCGCCATTGATGATGATGATGATGATGATAATTTAAACAATTTAAGAGACTAATATAGAAGAAGAAATATGCTTTAAAGCCTACATCCAAGAAGGAAGAAGAAGAATTACAACAGAAGTGTTTTACTTCGAGTTTTACTATGTTCGAGTTTTTTACTAAAGAACTAAATTTAGTAAACTAAACTAAACAAAATCAAATATTCAAAAAGTCAAATAAAATATTCAAATAACATGAAGACTCATCTAGGCTACGCATAATGAAAACTTTTAATGTACTTTAATAGTTGAAACTAAATTCAAAAACTCATTTAGTTAGTTCAATATACTTTTGTTCTGAAATTATTTTCTTGTGATATTTTAATGTTATTTACTATTTTTAATAGGAATTAACCACATTTTCAATTGAAAATACGTCTAGTTTGACATTGTGATATTCTTTTTGCGGGCTTCGTATTTTTAATTGAAATTATGGTTAATTCCTATTTAGTACAGTAAATAATATAATTTAGTTATTAAGATATATATCCATATATAGATATCCAAACAGGAACAAAACTCCAAAAAAAAAAGAACGTGAAAACCAGTTCCTTATAAGACAAATTTATCGTGCCTTTCTTGCCAATAACTTCCGAACCTGTCACCTTGGCCTAAAAATTAAATTTTCATGCTTGCCCGAATAACGTCACTCGAACGAGGATGTTTTTAGAACAAGGTCGCTTCAGGCTCCAGAGTCATCCGGGGATTGTGGAATTCTAAATATTTAATATTAATTCATATTATACATATTTTTGTAATGATTTAAAATTATCCATTTTTTCCTACAATTTGACAAAAAATAAAATCATTTTCAGACAGGTATACAAGATATTATATTTGTCCATAAAATTGATATTATATCTATATCTAAATACCATTATATTTTATTAGTATTTTAATTTTTATATATTTTTCCGAAATACTTAATTGACCGGAATTCATTTAAAAATCATTAATACATTTTAATTATACTTTATCCTAACTTGTTGAATGATACTGAAATATACATATATTTTATCATATACTTTATATACAGTACCTATTTTTTTTATTAATTATAGTAGTAGTTTTTACATAACAGTCTAGATAAGCATAAATACTTTAATCAAAATTATAATCTTATTTCAAATATTCGAGATAGTAAAATTATCAAAGCTAGTGATGGATTAGTAATGTAATAATCTTATTTAAAATTTGTATATAGTCTTCTTCTTCTTCTTCTTCTTTTTATTTAAACATGACTCTGTTGTTCAATGTGCCTTCGTCTCTTGCCATTTTTACTACTCTGTTTGTTGTCGTTTGGCTTATATGATATGATTCTATTCTACTCTTCTATTTCTTAACCAATTCTTGATGTTCTCTACCTTGCATCTACGTCGTATGTATGTACTTCGAGCTCTGTCCCATAGTGTCTTACCATCAAATTTTCTAAGTGTTTTCATCTGTACTGTTTCTAACATTCTTTTTCTCGTTTCGGTGTCAGGTCTTGTTTCTGACGCGTATGGTCAAGTCTTTAATTTATTTCCCGATATTTTGATTTTCCCATATTGTTTCATTCAGGCAGCCTGCGGCTCTGTTTGCTCTATTCACTTGATCTTCCACTTCAATTTCGATCTTTCCGTAGCTAAATAATATGAAGATATTTAAACTTGTTCTATTATCTGAGCCTTCCAGCTCCAATTTACATCTTAGTAAATTTAACTGCGGTTAACACAGTCGGTCCCAAGGGATTTGATTGCGGATTGTAAAACGGGTAGATTGAGTAGCTCTGCAGTTAAAACAGCTGGCCCCAAGCCCCTGGATAAAATGTGTAGGGTGACTGGTAACGTTAGCAACCTACTAATCTTAAAAACAAATAGTGCTCAAAGAAACAATTTATATATAGTAAAAAATCTAATTAACAATAATGCAACTTAAAATAAAAATAATTAAAATGGCGATGAAGATTAAGTAATATATTTTTTTATTTTGGACGATGAAAAGGACAAAGCAGTAGAAAAATAAATAAGAATATTTGTGGTTTTAATAGATATAAGAGAAGTGATATAAGCGAAAATCAAGTATTTTAAATGTTTATAGGCCTTGGTCTGTAATTATTTCGTTCCAACATTAAGAAATTACGACAGGCTAATGAATGAGCTAGATGGTGACCACTGCCGTCATGTCTTTAACAATATCTAGTAACATACACGTAGCCTTGTCGGTAACTTACAATTTTTCCTTTCATTTAAATATACCACTCATTCGAGTAAGATATGTTGTATACTTAAATTATTAAGGCCCTTGTCACATATCGAAAAAATCATTCCAGTTATATATTCACGTGCTAGGCGTGTCCTAATCTCTGTCTGTTTATTATAGTTTGGTTTTTCTTTTTGCTGTACTTATCCTTCCATCTTGTAACTACTGTTTTATTCTCCTAATTTTGTTGGGATTGATTTCATTTTTGAAGCCACCGTTCATTTAATGTCGAGTTACTCCAGTGATGTAAATCTTTATTGTATGTAGTTTCGGTTAACTTTTCGTTGTTAACTAATGGGCAAGTAGCAGCGTCTTCTCTTTTATTATCATGTATACCAGTAACGGAATCCACATATATTTTACCTGGCAATATTTTGCTGAAGTTGGTACAAATATGTTGGTATAAAGGTTTCGATATTTTCAGCTGCACCTACAGCCGCTCTCTTCCGGTTTCCGACTGTATATAAATTTTCTTTGTTTAATTTTTCTCGAAGACTATATGTCAGCTATAGTTAACAATTTTATTTAGTTCTTACAAACAAATGATTAAGTTTAAGGAAGAAATATCTAGATTAAGAGTATAGAAGAAATTGCGATGACCTAAAATGTTAGGAAAATTTTAAATGTTACATATTTAAGACAGAATCAAAATTAGAACTTTATTTAGATATGTTTTATACTATTTAACATTTATTTTAAAGCATCTGTAAAAAGAAATATTTTTTTTCAGACACCGATGACACCTGGGCGAGATATCTTCTGGCACGACATTGTACCCCAAGCCTCTACCAGTTGTTATCCGGAGTGGATGGATTCAGAGGATCCTCTGTTTATGTTGTACACAAGCGGCTCAACAGGAAAACCAAAAGGTGTACTCCATACAACAGGCGGTTACATGATATATGCGGCTACAACATTTAAATACGTTTTTGATTATAAACCCAATGACATCTATTGGTGCACTGCTGACATTGGTTGGATAACAGGTCACACTTATGTTGTTTATGGTCCTTTAGCTAATGCAGCTACGTCAGTATTAGTAAGTAACAAATACGTACTATTTTTTTATTAAAAAACACCTAAGCAGTGCTTTGGATTTTTAAAACTAATCACACAAATTAAACGAACGAACAAATCTTTTTTATTTACAATAATAATACTAATGTATGTTGAGTTTCCCCAATAGTAGTCCCAATTTATTTAACCGGCTTAACCTACTTAACATTTAACGCGCACTTACACTTTACAAGTACAAAAGTACATCGCTCTTTTAAACCTAACATATGTACCCTGATTCACAAGATTTTACGTCAACTAAAAAGGTATAGTTCTCCTGCGTCTTCTCACTATTCCCTGCTAATCCAGGAGCTGAATGGCCTTCACATTCACATGGTTACTAACTTTGTTTTCATGCTTATTTGCAAATACTTTAGTCACATCTGCAACTATTTCCATGCCCAGGTTTCTGTATAGATGGTTATTTCTTACGTACCAGAAAACACTTACACTATTAATTAGAACTTTATATTATAAAGCTGGAATTATTTTGATTGAACCGGCACTGGTACATCCCCAAAGCTGTACGACATATTTCCATATCAGCTTCAGCACTTGTTTATATATCAAGAGGTTAGTATGTATTGACAGTTCGGAATTTTTTCAGGATATTCAGTACTGTTTTTCTTTTTGATGTCTTATTACCATCTTAATCTGACGTCTAGATTTATGACCAGATATTTTGCTAGGTTGGTCTATGGTATAGTAGTGCCATTTCATACAATTGATGTTTTATTTATTTTTTTGTTGGAAACGTCTCATTGAGTTTGATATACTTTGATGTTTGATTTCTTAGTAGATGTGAATTGATGCCGCATTATACATCTTCATAATCTCTCTGGGGATTTAAACGTACATCTTCGATGGAACTTATTTTGACAACATAGGTTAAATTGAGAACAGAATTTTAACAGTTACGCTTATATTATACCATAATAGTCAAATATACGATAATTTTACTTACACAATGAGTTGTAAGCATACTTCGATGACCTGGCAACGCTGCCCTTACAGAAACATACCTTATAGACGAATTGGTTTGGTGGCCTGGACTACTAACTAAGCTATACTATTTTAAATGTTTCTCTTAATTTCACTTTTTAAAAACGCATCTTAAATTATTTCTGATACTGTATAAGTGTATAAAAACTTACAAGTTTGTCTTCCTCCACACAACAGTCACTTTAACACCTTTTTATGCACAAACGGTGTTTTGCATATATGAAGTAGCTTTATTTACAACACACGACACCTTGTCATACTTTCACATACTTACTTTCATGCGCATGGAAATATGGATTCAAAATTTGGTAGGGCAAAGAGCAGAGGTATATTAAGGACTTAAACGGTTCAATGTTTAATAAAATTATAACTTCATCACCATTAATAGCTAATATGCTTGTATCGTTAGCAAACGTAAAGGTAATGGATTTTGTCAAGAGTTATGAGTCATACCGATTTAGTACACAAGTTTACTTATTATTTACAAGGTCATAGCTCTTGTCAAAATCCATTAGCTATAGCAGTTATGATGGTGTTTAAAACTGCTATAGTGTATGTGTAAAGCAGATAAAGTAATGGACCCAAGACACTACCCTAAAGTACTTTAGCATTTATTGTTCTTAAAGTCGAGTAGCAATCTATACATTTTATTCCAAACGGCCTTTTGCTAATATACGATTTTAGAAATTACCTGTAGCTCATCGTGGCAGGTTCTATCAAAAGCCTGGGCAGTATCAAAACAAACCGCTAAACATACTCCGCGTGTATTTGATCAGTAATTATATGAATCGACTCTATTTTTGCGTGCTTGTTTCTAAACCTTAATTGATGAACTGGAATAATATATTTTTGTTCTATTATAGGTTTTAGTTCTTTTAACGTGAGTTTTTCAAACAATTTTGAAATCATTGGTAACAACAATATTGGTCGATATGGTATCTCAGGATCTCAAGTTTCGCTATCATATTTCTTTCCCCTAACTTCTAGCATCTTGGGAAGTAACTAAGCCTTATAGATGCATTAAGTAGATTTTTTAGCTTAACTAAAGCTTTTCTTGGTCACTTTTTTAGGATTTCGTCTGTTATTAGGCCATATCCCGCATATACGGTTATACCCATGCCTTTTTGAAAATGATATTTGTTAATATTTCGGTTTTTATGTATTTAGCTATTGTTACTCATTGTATTAGCTGTATAATATTTTCATTTATTGGTATCAGAATTAAATTGCATACCATACATTTAAAAGCATTTTCCAAACGATCAGCAAATATGTCTGCGATTTCTTGATTACTTTTGGCCCATGTACTATCAGGTTTTTTACATTTATGGGTGGATTATGTCTTACAGATCTATGGATTTTTCTCGTGGTTATCCATAATGAATAATCACCTTTATAAAAGGTATATAATTTAAAAACTAAATCGGGCTATATCACAATAACAAAACGTTTTCGAAATCCATGTTCCATCATCAGTGTCTAGGTGTACATGTATTGAGCCACTAAATATCTGGGTAAAAACCCGTTAAAAAATATATGTTTAAATTTAGTATACATAATTTAATCTTATATATTAAGATGTTAGAGTTACCAGTGGATGTGGTAATATAGCATTGTACGACTTCACCTGAAGTTGCTGATCCTGAGAAAAAGTGTCTCCGAGGACGTGATGAAACTATCAGTTGCTTGTAACGGGTTTTTATCCAGATATTTAGTGGCTTAATAAATGTAGATTTACAATACATGTACAATACATGTACATTTGGCGAGAAGAAATAATGCCAGATGAATGGAAAGAAGGGGTTATTGTACCAATACACAAAAAAGGAAACAAAAAGCAATGTATTAACTACAGGGGAATAACACTCCTAAACACCACCTAAAAAATCCTTGCAAACATCCTGCTAGAAAAAACCAAAACATACACAGAAGATATCGTTGGAGATTATTAATGCGGATTTAGACCGGCCCGCTCTACTATTAACCGGATATTCACAATAAAACAGATAATGGAAAAATGCTGGTAGTTTAATCGTGAGCTTCATCAGATGTTTATAGATCTTAAACAAGCATTTGATAGAGTATGCAGGGACAGACTGTGGACAGCGATGGAAGGAACTTGGCTTTTCAAAAAAACTAGTCAGGTTGATACGGATGTGTATGGAACGGTTACGATGTAAGGTGAGAGTTGGACAATAATACTCGGAGACATTTGAAATAAACAATGGACTAAAACAGGAAGATGCACTTTTACCACAACTCTTCAACTTAGCTCTGGAGCATTAATTCAGAAGTACAAGAATCGAAGCACTAAGAAGAGCACTCAAAGAGATGAAGAACAATAAATCGCCAGGAAAAGACGGGGTGACTGCAGAAATGCTAAAACATGGTGGGAAAACAACTAGAGAAGTTTTGTACATACTTATGAATAAAATTTTAATGACAAAACAAATACCCAACAGTTGGAACGAAGCAATAACACTGTTACTATTTAAGAAAGGAGATAAAAAGGATCTAAAGAATTACAGACCCATAACTTTATTAAATGTGATGTACAAACTATTAACCAAAATATTAACAAATAGATAAACAACTAAATTAGATGGATACCAGGCAAGAGAACAAGCCGGATTTAGAAAGAGCTTCAGTACAAGTGACCACCTTTTAACGATGAAGATTTTAATCGAAAAAACTAACGAATATCATTTCCCGCTATACATGGCATTTATTGACTTTGAGAAGGCATTTGATAGTGTGGAACACTGGGCAGTACAGAATTCCCTACAAAACAGCAGAATAGACTACCGATATACCGACTTAATTACAAATATATACAACAAGGCAACAACAACTATTAAGCTAATGAAACAAACGGAGCCCATTAAAATAAACCGAGGAGTAAGACAAGGAGATACCATATCGCCCAAGTTATTTAACCAAGCGCTAGAAGATGTTTTTAAACGACTACACTGGGATGACTTGGGAATTAATATAAACGGGCAAAATCTGAATCATTTACGATATGCTGATGATATTGTATTAATAACAGAAAAAAGTGAAGAATTACAAAGAATGATGGAAGAACTAGATAGAGAATCGACAAAAATTGGACTCAAAATGAATTATAGTAAAACAAAAACCATGACTAATCAACCAGAAGAACTTATGATTACAGTGGCACAAACAAAAATAGAACAAGTAAAAGAGTATATATATCTAGGCCAAATCACTAAATTAAATAAAGAAAATCAGACCGAAGAAATAAAGAGAAGAATAAGATTGGCCTGGGCATCATTCGGAAAACTGTCTTATATTCTAAAGAATTCAAAATACCCCCAATACTTAAAAACCAGAGTCTTCAATCAATGTATACTCCCTGTCCTCACATATGGCTCTCAGACATGGACGTTTACAAAGGAAAATATGGAAAAAATAGCAAAGACAGAAAGATCCATGGAAAGACAAATGCTGAACATTAAACTATCAGACAAAAAAAGAAACGAATGGATCCATAATAAAACAAAAGTGAAAGATGTCTCAAACCAAGTAGCAAAGCTTAAATGGAAGTTCGCCGGACACACCCTAAGGCAGAAAGATGAAAGATGGACTAAAACAATTATACATTGGAGACCATGGAATCACAAACGTAAAAGGGGAAGGCCACAAATGCGATGGTCAGATGACCTGAAGAAACACGCCGGGTCAAAATGGATGCAAATTGCCCAAGATAGAGAGGCATGGAAGAAGGAGGAGGAGGCCTATATCCAAGGATGGATTTTAAGGGCTGTATAGATAGAGACAAGAATCGAAAAACCGAATACAGTATTTCATCGAGAAGGACCAAAGTTACTACTGGCATTTGCAGACGATATCGATCTAATAGAAAACACACGATTAAGGATGAAAAAGACTTTCGTGAGGTTTGAGAAAAAAGCAGAGAAGGTGGGACTCCAAATCAGCCAAAAAAAGACGAAGTATATC